TGGTTAAAGGGAATGTATGGAGCGGCTGTCATAAATAAGGCAGAAGGAGCTGAACAGAGGGGAATGTTGGAAAGAGAAGGGATGGTGTTAGGGCAGCCATGTGCACCAGATAGCAGACTCAGCACAAAGTTAGAGAATAGATCCAGTTCTTAGTGAATGAACTCTCAAGTACTTATGACATGCATGTCTGTGGTGACTGTGGAGTGGTATAATTTTAAAGGCACGATGGTAGTGATTTGCATTCTGAGCTTATTCTAGGGCATTGGAATAGTGGAAAGAACTGAACTTTAGAATCTGGAAACCTTGTTGAGGTTGCAGTGCTACCCAATGCTGATTGTGTGACTGGGCAAGTCTAGTGACCTTTTGAGTTTCAGTTTCTTCATTTCTATAGTGATAAGAGACCTATTCATGGGCTTATCATCAAGATAAACTAGGTAATGCACACAGATTTGCTTGGTAGGCTGGAATGTGCTATAAATGTTACTGGAGTAGAGCAAAGAGAGTTATTGTTAGATTGCTCCAAAGAATCAGCAGTTACTCATCCACACTTCCTTCCACAAAACCCCTGAACAAATGGATCAATCGGGACCTTGTAAACCTTGCAATTAATCCATTGATCAGGCTGCCTCATCTGGTGTTTCCTGAAACAAAAATATAATAGAAGTAATGGTTAATATTTAATATTGCATATTAAATTTGAGGTTATTTATAGAGTTTAAAGAATTGGATCTAGAGGGAATCTTGTCTAGTTTCTTCCCCACCTCCCCCCTTTTAAGTAGAGTTGTATCAAATGTAAATTAGCTTTAAAAGATAGTTACTGACTTGTTTTTAAATTTCTTGAAGAAGATTTTAGTTTTCCTCTTTAAATTCCCTTAGTAATTCAACAACTGTTTCTAAAAAAATATTTGTTTTACTTATGTATGCTTACAAACACTGAGGTCTAGGCCAGAGGTAAGGGGCAGGTTTGAGGTGGAGTGGTGAGAGGATTCACCAGAGACAGAGTGTGGAGCAGAACAAACAGATCTACTGAAATACACTGCTGAGGGGAGCAGCAGGTGAGACAGGAGAGGTCTACTGGGCCATGTGGGTCACCTTCCTGGCCTGGAATAGAACTCGTGCTGCAGTAGCTGGTGATAGCTTGATTGCACTGAGACTCTAACCCCTGCACCACCAGGGAGACTTCAGTTCAATAACTCTTATAACAACTTGCCATTTACAACTGACTTAAATCTATAATTGTAGTTTTAGTCCTTTCCCATCAACTGTATCTCCACTGGAGAGGGAGGACAGTTGGTTAGCAATGGACTTAGGAAAGTAACCTTTTGTGTACTGAAAGGAGTTACTCGGTATTCTCACTCCACCATATCCCATCCTACCCCACCCCTCACCACCTCACCCATCCGACCTCACCCCACCCCATCCCATCCCCACACCTAGAATTCATCAGCTGGCATTTTTCTGAATTATTCATTGCACTATGATCCATCTCCCTGCTCCTCTCGCTTGATACTTTCAGGCAGCTGGGCTAGGTGTTATGGTGCCACATGGGCCTGTGGGAGAACACAGGCTGTTTTTTTTTTCCTTTTTTCATTAAGTTTTGTAATCAGGATGACCCCTACAGTGTTTGATGGGTGCACAAAAATGTGCACAAAAATGTGGAGTTTTACAAGGATACTTTGAAACTCAGGCCTCCCTGGAAGCTGCCACTTGGCAAACTAAAGTGATTGACAACAGTTGTGTGGATTTAATTGCAGAAGACAATAAACTAAAATCATTCTGACTGCAGAATATTTTCAGAAACACACTCTTTGTCTGAGTGGATAGGCTTCCCTAGTGATCAAAGTGGAGAGTAAGTGACCTTTGAGCAGATTGAATTCAGTAAATGGACGCCATGTGCTTTTAAAGTGGAGCCTCTTTTTTAACCTATGTGTGTGCTTTTTATGTCTCTATCTCTATAGGTTTATTACCCGGAGGGCTGTCTCTGGGTTAACCAAGACCCATTTCCAAAAAAGAAAATGGATGGGAGGTTTCCTAAGGTAAGATCCCACACTGCTGTTTATAAGCAGCTTTTTAAAAAATGTTATAGTTATTTATTTTTATTTTAATATACATTGTAGTCCATTGTAATAATCCATTAACCTGACACCATTATCACCTTGGGAATAATATATATATATATATAAATACCTCATATCTTAACTTCTTTGTCTGTTAATGTTATCTACCTTTCTTTTCCACTCCAAAGTGTAATTTTCAAGTTAAGAATTATGGAATCAATTATTAAATGTGCAGTTAATGCAATTTTATTTGTTGCTTTTTAATTCTTAGATGAACTCAAATTTGCTGACTGAACGAAAAGATATATTTTTAGAAAAGTTTATGGAAATAATGTTAGTTTATAACATGAAGTATACATCATTATAAGTAGGAATCTGCATATAATATGTTTGCCACTAAAAGTAGTTCCATCCTTCACTTTACTAGTTGATCTTAAAAGTATAGGATGGTAACATTTTGCCTGCTAATAATGCCTGGATGTCTGACAATGATATCCCTGAAACAAAGCAGAAAGAACATAAAAACTTTGATATTTGTTTCAATTTTTAGGGAAACACTTCTAAATTTGTTTTCATTGTTCTGAAATTAAATTGTCACACATTAGGTGTGACAATACTCTGCCTTAAGAAAATTTGTAAAGTTTACATTTCAGATTATAACAATATTCCTGAAAAATAACAAAAAATATCTGTCAGTTTTATTATAGATACCTTTGAAGTTTGCCTAGCAAGGTAAATAGCAATTTTACTACAAGCAGGCAAATTGTAATTTTTACCAGTGATCTGCACAGCATTAATTCTTTCAGCCATATTACCCGAGTCTTTACAACACAGCGGGCACCATGAACTATGTAGTGCCAAACCCACAGGGCATATGTGGCATCCAGGGACTGCCTAGAGATGTGCACAACAGACTTTTAGATCATGGTCCCAATACGCCCATGGATAATTTGCACTAAGATGACTTAGTAGAGGGTGAGAATCACTTAATAATAATTCCTTGTTTGGGTCATGTTCTAAGTGGCTTGAGCACTAAGCTTAGAGATAGGAAAACAGAGCCAAAGACAGTCCCTGTCCACCCTGCCCTTAATTCAGTTTTCATAAGGAAGAACTATGAAGTGGATGTCTCTGGGAATGCATGCTTCCAAATAGATTGTTCCAACTGCTGTCCCACAAATGGGTGCAGAGCAGGCGGGCAGGGGGTGGCTGCCCATCCCAGCAAATCTTTAATTTTTATTGGATAAAGTTGGTGTTGGATGTAGTGTCTGTTATTGAACCAGAAATAGTAGAAATTAGGATAAGATACTGAATCTTTAGCAGTCAACATTAAGAACTATCGAGGTAAAACTAGAGTCAGTAGTTGCACGAATAAAACTTACTCAGAGTAAAAATAGTCAATTAACATCTCCAATAAAATTAGCTAGACTCTGGGCCCTCCCTGGTGGCGCAGCGGGTTAAAGCACAGCACTGAGAAGCTAAAGCCGCTTCCGCATGAGTTTGATTCCCGCCTGCCCCAGAGATGACCACATGGTGTGGCAGACCTCTCCTGACCCGCCCGCTGCTCCCCTCAGCAGTGTACTTCGTTGATCTGCCTGTTCTGCTCCCCACTCTGTCTCTGGTGAATCCTCTCAATGCCCCTGAGCCTTTGGCCTGTACCCCAGTTCTATATGTACAAATAAATAAATCTTTAAAAAAAAAAATTAGCTAGACTCCACTTATTTCTTCATTCCATTTGGTCATATTTTTCAGATTCCAGGCTGAATACCAATGTAGTGCTTTTAGCGATTTGCCTAAATCTTCAAGTGTGTGAATTTTAATTTTCTGGTTTGATCCTATAGTTACTTATTGATTCCAAAACAATCTGTAAATTATAATCTAAAAGTAGACTACTAAAGTACACCCCAAAATGTACTAGGGTTTTAGAATACTAGGGTTTTAAAAACAAAATTTAAGCAAACCTGATGTTCAAAGGGGAAAATCTATACAGTAAATAAAACTTATTAAAGCCGAATTATCTGTTTTATTTAGTTCACTCTGGGCTGTTAAAAGCATTTATTCGGTTTGAAGTTTGTTTGAAGTTCCTGACTTCTGAATTCTGATATTCAAATATGATAAGTTACTGATCACAAAGCAAGATTATCACTTTGATCCAAGTACTTATATACTTATATCCAGTCAAATTGTTGTATTATAACTTCCCAGAAGTACGAGACCAAGCAAAAAAAAAAAAAAAAAAAAGCAAACTTTTTTTTTCTTCTAAAATCACATAGATAATTTTTCCAAGAAAATTCCAGACACAATTGGGCTGAGGGAGAAACTTCTGTCGAAGCATTATTTTCATATTTGCATCTGACCTAAAATAGGTTTGTGATAAATATATTGTCACTATATTATTATATATCATTGCTTGTGTAAATGCACCTTATAGTCTTGTCCTCTTGATGTTCTGTTATGAGAACTTCTGCATGGGTGCTCAGTGGATCATCAGTCCAAATGCAGCTGGAGTATTCTGGTGAGAAATGTAAAAAATTTCAGCTTTAGGATCATGAGGGGAACCTTTGGATAACCCCAGGCAATCCCAACGAACTGAGTCTTGCTGGCTTCTGACCTTGGTTTCCCTCAACCCCCCACTTTTCTGCAACCATTTCCTCCCTTGTCTCCCTCACCCCCTCTAAAACATTATTTCCCTCCCAAAACTCCCACTCTGTGTATCTACTTCTAGTTCTTACCATGAGGCCCACAAGAATTGTGCCAGTTTCCTACTGAATAAATCAGACATAAATTACATCTGTGTAAGTTGCGATAGGCTTTGAAGTACTTTTACTGTATATTAGAAATCAGGCATTAATTACACCCCCGCCCCTCCCAGCACAGTCATTTAAGTCTTTTTTTTAAAAAATGTATGAACTCTCGCGAGAGCTTCTTCCCAGCTTCTTGGGGGCCCTCTCTGACCCGAAAACTTGACCCGGCAGTTGCTGCTGCCCACATGGTTGTGCACAGCCAGCAGGGAAGCACTTGATTCCACCAAAGCCAAGGAGACTAGTGTTTAATTACTTCATGCCCCCACAGACCTAATATTTACATTCAGGTGAACTGTATTTAATATGTAAACTCAGTTTGGAAAACATTGGGTGTTCAAGGATAAAAGGCGGGAGGGAGACGCCAAATTTTTAATGCGGAAGCGCGACTTCTAGAATGTTTCTTCTGAGTGTGTGTACATCTGTTGATATGTGGGTACACTTGCCTTTCAGGGAAGACTTCCTGTCCCGAAGGAAGTGAACCGCAAGAAGAATGAGGAGCCTGAGGCTGCATCCCTGCCTCCACTTGGCAGCGATGAACGCCATTCCCCAGGAATCTTACCTCCACTCTTTTTAATGTAACAACTCCATTTGTGTATGGGTATTGATGAGGTCATGGTATCATATATGGGATTTTTTTCTGTGTAAATCATCAAGTATAAGAAGAAACTATGGGACTCTGAGCCTTGCTTTAGAGAATTTACAGTGGACAAATAGGTATCATCAAACCAGTTTTTAACCATTCTGACTCAAGTGAAAACGCTCAGAATTTCACACTGTGAATCCACGTTTACAACCCTTACAGGTGGGCCTTCAGGCCTGGTTCGCTGCGATGACGTCTTCCACAACTCAAACTTCCACTGCTCACACAACCGGTCCACTTCTGCCTTTCACTCATACAGCTCCTGACTGCTTCCTGCAGAGGCTGAGAGTCCCCGCCTTTTTTTCATTTAGATGTAACTATTCTAGTAGTTTATGTTCATCAATTGTCCGTATATCTCTATATTTTATCCATGTACTCTTTTGATGTATAGAAGTAGTTTGAAACTCATTGTTTCCTTGTGGTAAGTGACCGAGATGCTGCCACAGGACCTGAGACACTGATGAATGGTGCTATTTTGGACTTTCAACATGCTCCTTGGCGAGGTAGCTCTGATGGAGTTATTTTTTATTTCCATGTTCTAAGAAGGTATTGGTATTCTGTTTCCCTGAATGTCGTTCTCTAGACTGGATTGACTTGTTTTTCTTGTGTCTTCAGTGTGGCTTTCTTCTTCAGCATTGTAGATTGAGTGAATGCTACCAGAGAGTGTAAGAGACTCATGTCTAATTGGCTGGCACTCATGAACAGTCCCTGTGAGGGAGCAATCGCAAAACTGTAATTTACTTACCAAATCTCTTTCTTTTGGTAGCATTGCCTGCCTAACTTAGAGAAAGAAAAGCAATAATTTCACAGGCATTTTAAGGTGTCTCTTTTGGTGATTTTGTTCAAAAGAGTCTTTGGGGGAAAATGTGCAAACTTTAAAAAAAAAAAAAAAAACCTCTGAAAAGTATCAAAAAAAACTGGCATCTGAAGAGAAATATGAAAATTACACACCAATCGCAAAACTTCAGTTGGAAAAAAAAAACTTTTTAAAATTAAATTTTAAATAAAGGGCAGAGCCCTCCTTTTCTTCGGTTTTAATAAGCAAGGTGTAGATTTTACATTTTTGTCCTTGCTCCCAATGAAATAAATAAACAAAAATAAAATAAGATATTACCATCTATTTATGGAATGTTGTTGTGTTAGCCAGTCTGAAAGCCCACCTTAATTTTTATATAACCGTCTTTTAGCTCTTCCTTGACAGGGCGGGCTTGTTCTGAACTGTTCTACTTCTGACTGTTAGACATCAGGATGCATGCACTGCGCTTCCTACTTCTCTTCTTGTTCCCTCATTGCCTAAGTTTCTTGTGCATTACTCCCCTCTCTATTAGAATAGGAATATCAGCTGTGTAAATAGAGCAAGAAAATAGTATTCTGCATCTGTGGCATTTATGTAGAGTTGCATTGTGTAGTGCTGAAAACGCAGGCTTTTGTAACAATGTGGTCTTAATTGATGCACTCAAGACAAGTACCCAATGTATTTTAGCTATTTTAGTAGTATTTGTTCAATAAATATGCAAGCTGTAAGGTAACTGGCTTGACTCATCATTAAAAAGGCCTACTTTTGATTGTCTACACTGGTTAATGCATATGTTCCCAGAATCCCCAGAATAGACCCAAGGGCAAATATCAAGAGATAATTCTGTCTTTCATGCATTTTCCCTTCTGAGGGATTTATGAGATGAGGGGCTTGGTGATGGTTCATTAGAATGGTGTTTTCAGAAATGCCTCTGCCACAAAGGAGGTCCTGTGATTTTCTTTTTCCTTTAAAGGGCATCCCACCCCTCAACACTATTTTACTTGTCACCATTGATACCTAATCTGCAACATTTTTCATTCACTCTAAAAGTTACTTGACTTCACTTCTTATGGAATATTTTCACTTATACAATACAAAAGATTACACTGGTAAGATGATAAGTATTTTAAGTCATTACCTTATATAAATCCAGCTCCTAGAAACCTAGCAGATGTTATGATGGCATCACCAGAACCTTCTGGGATCTTCTAAAGCCCAGAAATGCAGGGCATTCATTCTCTCCCAGGACATGAAGAAAACGTGTGGGATCTCATTCATATGTGAAACCTTTGCATGGCACACAGACAGGCTATTACAAGGGCTGACTGGGCTTGGACATTTGGGTTTCACCTCAGCAAAGCCTAAAAAGAGCATCTCTGACATAGGAGGCAGAGAGAGATGGGAGCAAAATGTAGCAGTGGCACCAAAATGGGACTCAGTGTCTGGAGATGGGATCAGAAATTCTCAGATTCTCAAGAGAGGTCTTTGGTCTTGATGTGTGTGTCAAGAGGGATTTTTTTTTTTTTAATTGGGAAACCACCTTTGAAATTAATGCACATATCAGATTTTATTGTTTCCAGTTTAACCTCAACTTTTAATCTTTCTATAAAGGACCCTTAGGGGCAGAACTAAATTCAAACTGCCTGCCAGATAATAAGAATTTGTTCAGCCTGCAAGAAAGAAGCTTCTGCCATCTCAGTTGACAATCCCAGCCAGAAGTTAATCTTGGGAATGTGGCAGAACCATCAATAAAGTTAATCACCTTTCATGCGATAAACAATTACTGTTTTCCTCACCCAACAGGCTCCCATTGCCTGTATGTTATTGAAGTAATGGGACTTCCATCCTGCCTCCTTGCCCTTGTTGAACTGAGAACAGAGAAAGGTAATAGGCCTGTCATGCTATGGCACAGGCAGGGTGCTTTCTTTGTGACCACCTGCATTAATCATCTTCTGCTTCATAAAATATTATAACCACACTTTGCATTTAGAAACGATGAACTTTTCTTACCTACCAATTTTGTTGGTTAGGAGTTAAAAGCCGCTTAGCCAGTGGTTCTGGCTCAGGATTTTCCTTGAGTTTGCAGTCATAGTATCAGTGGATTGCAGTTATCCAAACACTTGACCAAGGCTGGAAAAACATATGCCCAATACAGCTCACTCACAGGTTTTTGGCCTCTCCATAAGCTACTGAGGTGTTCTCATGACCTCTGGCTTCCCCCAGAGTGAGTAATTCAAGAGAGATCTGGGAGCAAGCCACAAAATCTGTGACCTATTCTTAGAAGTCAGTGTAATACACATTCTACTCACTAGACCAACTCATTACGTACACTTACAGCCATGAGGAAGAAATTAGTTCCACCTCCTGTAAGGAGGGATATTGAAGAATTTGTGGACATATATTAAAACCAGCACTCCAGCATAAAATTAATTTATTCTGCACACAAGTTAATGTTAGATTGCTAGGATAACTCTAGGTCCGGAAGTAAAAGTAAGAAGGACTGTAACCAGCGTGCCTTGTTACATTGAAAAAGTTTTTTACAGTCTTTCAACACTGAAGGGTTATAAGGGAAAAACCCAGGAACTATACCATTGGGATACATAGCACTTACTAATCAAAGTGCTTGTATTATTTAAAATACGGTACTGAAAGGCAAAAGCCTGGAAACTGTAATAAATAATGGTCAAGGTTGAATTCAGTGGCTTTTGCTGATGACAATCTGTCAGCCTCTATGGAGCTGAAACTATGAGATGCCTGCCCTGTACTTTAGACTCTGAGGAGCCGAATATGGGGATCAGCTGTGGACATGTTGAACCATAGCTAACAGGCAGAGCACTGGCTGGAATCAGAGTTGGGGACTTGACCTTTCATTGGATTGCATTTTTTCTCTCTGTTTTGAGAAAGTGTTCATTTAATTGCCAACATAAAGAAATTGTAAGATTTCACAGGAATATACATTTGTTTGGGTTTCCTTAAAAAGTGTAAGGTCTACCAAGAGTCGGCCCAAGCTGAGTGGCAGCTTCCGCAGTCAGGGGGGAGGTGTGCTCCTGGCCTTCCAACCCTGGCCAGCTGTTATTTTTTGATATCCTGTCAGCTTCACTCATTACATCACTTGTCTGCCTCTGATGGCTGTGAGTTTGCAATATAATCTTTTGGTTTCAGGGGGGGTATTGATTAGCCACTTAGCATCTTTTTACTCCTGGGGCCCTCTCTAATGGCATAGCAGGTTAGAGCACAGCACTAAGAAGCTAAAGCCACTTCAGAATGAGTTCTATCCGCACCCCAGAGGTGATCCACATGGCACGGCAGACCTCTTCTGACCTGCCTGCTGTTCCCCTCAGCAGTGTTCCTTGTCAGTTCTGCCTGTTCTGCTCCCCACTCTGTCTCTGGTGAATACTCTTATCACTGTTGCTCCTGTGGCCTGTACCCCAGTTCGGTATGCATAAATAAAAAAGAGGCGTGCTCCTTAAAAAAAAAAAAAAGAAAAAGACTCTACTGCTAGAGACAAATGTGATTTTCTTGTAGTTCTTAATTGTTCTCCAAATTCAATCCTCATCACTCAATAGCCTCACATTATTTGAGTAGAAATAAAGCATACTTTTTATCATTTTTTAAAATTTCATTAGTAAGTGTGTTCATCATCTTCATTATATAACTTATTTAAATATGGAATAATCAATAGACCAGATCTATAATATTCTAACTTGTCTTCAGCGGCAGTTTCAAAAAATCCACTTTTAATTCTTAGTGGTATTTATGATGTATATACACATAGGTTTTATATCTTCTATATTTACTCCGCATATTTACACTACTCATATATAAAAAGATGAATTCTTTCCATTTACAACAACAGGGATGTAATTTCAGGGGATTATGCTAAACAAAAAATGTCAAAAAAGTTTTAAGTCAGCATTGATTTACAGCACTGTATCCAATGCAGAAATCTAGTACCCCACTTCTCGAGGTATATGCTACCGCATTCACTTACCACCAAGGCCTCCACAGTCCCACACCAGAGTTCATTGTGCCCCCACTCCCTCTGGTAGCTGTCATTTTACAATCAGATTTCTAGAATGTGTTCTTCATTGGTATGGTCTGATTCTATTCTGTTTTTTTTTTTTTTTTTTTTTTTTTATATTCAGTACATGAGCAAAACCATCTCTGTTGTTCTCTTCAATCGGGTAACTTTAGTTAGAAGTTGGGACCTTTCCAAGTTCAATGCTTCTGTGTCTTTCTACCCACTTTAGTCCTAGCTGAGTTCTCAGGAGCTGCACAGGCCAACCCTGCCACACACAACTTGCACCTGCTTTTCCCCTTGCTGTTTTATCCTCCAGGGATAACAGTTTTGACAGTCTTTCTGTGACTCGCTTTCTGGAACTTTCACCAACCCTATTTTCCACTAGGTCTCTGTGGCCAGCACAGCTTCTTTTAAAAAATGATAGTCAGGTCTGACAGGAATAATGGCAGGATCCCATAGAGAATACACATACTTAGCACTTAGACAGCTAAGTGGAGACGAGAGGTGGTTGGTCCATGTCATTGCCTGAACAGCTGCTGTGGAGCTACATTTGCTGTGCTCCTCCTGGCACTTTGGGCGGCACCCTACACCCCATCAAAACTTCCATTCTGCTCTAACCATAGTGCTGCCCTCCCAGCCCCTAAGAAAGAGGGGAAAAGCTACTTTCTTTGTTTTGTTTTGGAGGCCATCGGCTACCTCCTCCTGTTCCTCCTTTCCTTAGGCCACTTATGCCAAAGCTGCCAGATAACTTACATTTTCTGGTCACAACATTTTACCATTTGAATTCCAAGCATTGTAGGACAACAAATATTGAACTTTGTCCCCATATTCCATCTTTAGAATGGAAAATTTTTAAAATTTCCACTTTAAATGTTGCTCTAACTACAAAAATATCACTGATTTTATAAGTTTTGGATTACAGAAATTTGTATCTCTGAAATAAATACTATAAAAACAACAATGAAGAAAGCTAAGCTGTATCCAGTGAAGGCAGAGCTGGGAAAGAGAGCAAACCAGGGCTCCAGGAGCTGTTCCTTGCTGACTACTTCAATCTCCAGGCTCATGTCTTAAAAGCCAGT